TCTAATGCCAAGAAATCAAACCCAACTCAGTATGAACTTAACTCCTGTAGAGTCATTTGAACAAATCCACACAGCAATATCCCAATTCATTTTCCAATAAAAACTAAATTCATTGAACTACAATCTTTGTGTATTAAATACAAGTGTACAGAACTGGACTGTGTTCAGCACTACACCAAAATCATCATTTCTTCTACACTCTCTCTTGAGTAGCTCTGCTGGAATCACCTTTGATCAAACTGGGCTTAGTAGTGGCCAGGTGCCATTCCACTTCATCTCTCAGAGCTGTATATTTTTTCTAATTCATTTTATATCCAGTGTTTTTCCACACTAGTAAGGAAATACGAACCTTTTAATGTAAGAAAAATACAGAATGAATTATATGGACAGTAAAGTCACTGATATTGACTCACTCTGGACAGTTTTCAAATAGAGAAGACCTACAGAAGCATCAGCTATGTTATTGAGAAGCTTGTTAAGTTTGTTTACTCTTAAATGTCAGTTTTTGCCACATGACAGCATGAATCATATGAAAGGAACTAAAAAGTTGGAGTGCTGACTCCGAACAAGGAAGGAAAAATTTAGAAAACTTCTATTCCAATGGTGACTCCAAATCTATGTGAGAAACATTAGGTATGTTGCAATCTAATGTTAGGAATCATCTTCTCTAATAGTCTAAACTACTGGACCCTCAGCTGTCCCAGGTCAGAATCTACTCAGAAATATCCTCACAGGACACCTAACAAGAACTTCTTTTTAAAGCAATTTCCTGACCAGAGTTGCTTTGTGCCCTGCAAACTTGAATCACAGACAAATACTTTTTGCATGTTATTATCATGTACTTTAAAGATAAGAAACAATCAGATCAAAAGTATTTCTCACTGGTAATCAAAAATTCATTTATAGTGTCACAAGTCTGCATGGATAATACTCCAATATCTGAAGCTATATACGTAGCTAATTAGCTCCAGTAAGTATTTAAAACATACCAGGAAACTAGACAAATATTTGGAGTAAAGCATAACAATAACTTAAGGCATAAACCTTGCTACAGTAACTTTAAAAAATAACAATAGCAACATCATTCAGAACGTTGTTCTATGTGAAATAAGATTCTACTACTATGATTTGATCTTCTGTACAAGTGATGAGAAATAAGAGACAGATCTATATAAATAAACACCTACTCAAGAGACAGACTGCCAACTAGCCATACTGAAATAGAATTTTCAAGTACGGCTTCAATTGACTAGACTGATAAGGAAACAAAGGATGATTTTAGTACAGATTAATCATTTTTCTTATACTGTGTGTTAGCAGCACGTGTTTCTTCGGTTTTCTCTGTCCCAGAATTCACTTTCGTTTTTATGTTCAGGGATACATATTCATTACTAGCTCTTAATTACAATTTTAAGTTATTTTCTTCAAGCAGTGCCACACACACAACACTTAGTAAGTGCAGCAGATTATGTTCCTATGCGTTTGTTTCATGTTCTATATATCTTTTTTTTTTTATTTATTCTTCTTATTGCCCAACATACCAATCTGAGGCTCTTACTGTTATAGATATGTTTTGTGCTTGGCACCATTCACCAAGTTCTTAAACCTCAAATAACTTAAAGGCTAGGAAAAAACAAGGAGAAAATGCAAGTTGGATATACGTCATTGTTACTTAGATTAAATCCCTAACCTAATAGAAAATCTAAGCACAAAATAAAAACAGATTTTGCTGGAAGACTTAAAGCCAATAGTCCACAAATCTTCATTACCTGCAGAAAGGTCTCACACAGCAATAATGGTTTTGAGTCTTTCTACTGATTCTTGCAAGTAGCATGGTAGTACCTTGGGTCTTCAGGAAAATACGACCCATTTTTGTCAGTAACACATCTGTCCTCATTCAAACATTCCTAAAAAGTTCTGTATTAATTAAACAACATGGTGCTAACCTGGTGAACTTAAAATAAGCAATTGTAAAGCCAGTAACAGAGAGAATGAAAATAAAACCAACAACTACAAACCTTAGATTGTGTTTCCCTCTGCTGAACAATTACGCAAAATCACTTTTCCTTTGTTTAAACGTATAACTATTCCAAGATACACAGAATTATACATATATTGTGGAATGCAAGGAATATTTCCACAGCCCAAAGTGAAACTGCCAGAGACCTGCTCAAACAATATTAACAAATACTCATTGCAAAGATATAACAAGTAACTTCTGCTATGTAGCAAACGACATATACCTTTGCAAAGCTTCTACAATTTTTCTCTTTGTGCCAGAAACATAATCTGTAATGCTAGCCATCACCAAATATTTCCAGTATAAAGCCTCTTTATCCTAGACATAAGCATGCATATTAATCTGTTACTTTGGTGCTAGTCTTACAATGGATATCTATTAACTTTTAGTAGTTTTTTCTTTGAGAACCTACCTTCCCACAGAACAAAGTGCTTTACATGTGTAATTTGGTTTTCTGCTCAAGTTTTCAAGGTCATAAAGAACAATAACACCATCCGAGCCACCTGATAACATGCTGAAAGTATAAATAAAACACACGGGTTACAAAAGGTAAGACCACAACCTGCTAAATGTAATAAAGGATTCGGCTATAAAATAATGGCCAAGACATAGTGAAGTGATTTTAGCCAAACTTAAGTATATACTTACTATCTTCCCTCAACAGGCTCAATATCAAGGGTGTTAATACCACTGCCATGTATTCTTTCCACATCTCTATCTTTATTTAATTCTAAACTTAGAACTCTGAAAAAAATAGAATAAAAATTAACAGAAAAGTGAGATGAAAAGTATGAACAGATTTTTAAGATATCACTATATAACTCTACACAGTGCAAAGCATGGTCTCATCCTCCCTCAGTGCATCTAACATCCCATCTATTTATTCTTGCAAAGTAAACTTACAGAGACACATAACAAAATTAAAAGTTCGGTAGAAAAAGCGTTTTATCATCGGTATTGTCAGAAGTTAAGAGGCAAGAAAATATGTAAGACAGGCTCAAAGGAATATCAAAACTGCATTTGAGGTCAATACATGAAGCATCAAAACAAGAAAGTAGTTTGAAAAAATACAGATAGGATAAACATCAAGAAGTATTTGTCATTTTTGTGACAAATATTAGTTATCCGCAAGCTTCATTATGTACCATCACTCCTCCTTGGAACTATGGACACCTAGTGGACAAACTTATTTAGTTTAATAAATCTCACTATTTTCTTTTACTACTACTTTGTGTGTTTACTACTTTGTGTGCTACACTTTCTTCAGTATAAAGAAAAAAACCTACACTATCCACATGGTGGAGCTTCCAATAGTTTCCTGATCTTGTGATCAGAAGACATTCTAATATCTTGTAATGCTTTTTGTGGGAAGCTTGAACTGTTAGAGGCAGAGTGATCAACAGTATGCATAGAATGCTCCAAGCTAATTCAAAATATGTAGAATAGAATAGAATTATGTGAGAATTTTGATATCCACAAAATACTTAAAATTTCTGAGCTCAAGACTGAATACCTCGCCTTAATTAAATGTTTTGGAACTACATTTCAAGTCATGTGCCTTAAATCTATTGAAGATAATGTGTGATTTCTATTAATTCAAAACGAAAATGCAGAGAAGGCAAAAATGTTAGGTATGCGGTTTTTTCAGCAATATAAACTGTGCCTATTTTGCTTCTTTCTCAACATTGAATGCTACACAGAAGCTGAAGGGGCACAAAGTACCTATTATGATACAGCACAAACCAGAAATGAGCTTTCTGAATTAGGGTAATTCCACCAATTACAACTATAAATTGCATACTTTATTATTGATAGTCTATTTAAATTATAGATTCTTTTTATATGCAGTCACAAAATCCCAACTGAAGGCAAATACACAAGTAAACACACGGCAACCTTTGTATGTGGATCCAACACAAATCCTTCCAGCTGCAGATGCTGTGAGCAACTGCACAGAGACTGGCTTTACCTCATTTATCTTGAAGAACAGCTGCAAAACAGACTCTTTACTAATGACCAAATATCATCACATTACTGTCTTTGACAGTTGTATTAATAAGCCCCTCTCTTCAGTCACCATTTTCCAGAAAAGCTTTTACAAACCTAACAACAGTCCTGCATCCAACTCTTTTGTCAGCAGCCAACAGGTGTGCTTATGGGAAAAACGGGGTCGAGCTGATGAGTGAGCCCAAGCACCACCTAGGTCTGGCCTTTTCGTGAAACACAGCACAGTCACACATCAGTAGAAAGAGCCTCTGAGCGCAGTGAGGCAGAACCGAGTGGCACTGCGCAGCGCCTTATCGTGGTCTGTATCCAACTCAGTCACACACCACTCATCCGCCTGCCACGGGGCAATTCCCAACTTCCAACACAACTCCTATCGAACCCTTCCCGGATGAGTACCGGCGCGTACAGGACGGCCCCTGCCCGGCATGGCACCAGGGCACGCTGGAGGACTGCCGCCCGCTCCGCCCCACCTCGCCCCGCTCCCGGTGCAGGCGATGGGGTAGAGCCCGGCCCTCGGCTCGCGCAGAGGAGAGAAGACGACGGCCCCGGGCCCCGGGCTCAGGTCGGGCCCAGGGCTCAGGTCAGCCCCCGAGCGTGAACTAGCCGCTGCGGGCCCGCCCCACGTAGGCCAGCCTCAGCCTCTTTTCCCGCAGGCCCCTCTACCTGCGCGTGGACTCAGCCCGGCGCAGCCGCAAGGGATCGTCGAGCCCGGCCTGACGAGCCGAAATAAACCCCAACATGGTAGGACGGCGCCGCCGCTCGGCACCGCTCCGCCATCTTGGGCCTGTGCTGGCCGGGATTGGCTGGAGGTAGGAAGGCTTCCGCCAATTGCAAGCGGTGTTGCTGGCATGCCTGCCGGCGAGAGGGAGGAGCTGACGGAGTAGGATCACGTGATTGGCGCCGCGGGGGCGGAGCTGCCCGTGGACGGGGGTCGCGCGCGGCGGCGGCGGCGGCGGCGGCGGTGGGGGTGTGCGCGTGCTCGCTTCAGGGATGGGCCGCGCCTGGCGGGCGCTGCGGGCCCTGCGCCTGCGGCTCCTGGGGCCAGAGAAGGAGCTGGTGGGCACCGACCAGTTCGGCAACAAGTACTACCGCGTGCCTCAGCACCAGACCAGCGCAGGTACGCACGGGGTCTCCTCTCGGGTTGCCTCGCCGGGACCCGGATCGAGCGCTGCGGCGCAGCCCGCGACAGCGCGAGCGGTGCGGCGTTCGGGGCGGGACTGCAGGGAACACCGCCCCGCGCTGAGCGCACCGCCCCGGGCAGCGCAGGGCAGAGTGACGCCTTCCGCCCTCGGCCCGGGTTGCGGAGCGGTTGTGAGGGGCGGCGGGCGGCTGCGGGCCGTGACTTGGTTTGAAGAACGCCGAGTTTCCGTTTGAGGATCCTCAGTGTGCTTGCACCGCGTCCTCACATCGCGCTGCGCGGGCGCTGCACGGCTCCGCGTCATTTAACCAAAGAGGCGTGTCTAAGGGTCGTGAGTGCACGTGCTGCAGTGCTTACAGCCATCACGCCTCTTCCTGTACAGCCTTTCTTACCCACTTGCTGTACTAGGTGTGTTTTACGTGGCTGCTCCCCATGCAGACCTGTGCCCCGTGGTGTGGTGGATCAGAAGCATGAGGTGTGAGGCTGCAGTCCTAAAGGTCGGTGTCCTTCCTGAAGTGCAAGGGCAGGCACACATCCCCCCTTCTGACACAAATAACGTTTCCTGCAGTTCTGCATCTTGTCAGTTCTCTGATTGGTTTTGTTGCACGCTTTTTGAAGGACTGTCAGTGATATTGAACACGTCTGATGGACTGGCATCTGGAAGAGTGATAGGAGTATGTCCTTGTTGGCCGTGTGTGAATCCTCCTGGTTACAATGACAGTGGGACGATTCCAAGCTTTCTCTGCTTTTCTTTCAGCTTTTGGGCTTCCCTCTTGCAGCTTATGGTAACTTTGAGAGGTGTACAAAAGGATTATAAGGAAAACGGTCTGTATTCTGGACAAATTTGTATTCCTGTTCAGAGGACTTCATAGAATGGAGTTCACAAACGGAAAACTTTTCTTACTCAGATAATCTTCATCTGTTAGGCTGAGTGGAAAAGAGAGTCGAAACAGAAACCACAAGAGTTGGAGAAGTAAATACACTGCAACGGTTTATGCTTGCTTATCAGTCAAAGCATAGATACCTGGCATTCCACTATAGCGATAGCTGAAATCCAGTAAATTTCAGATTTAATGAGATGTGGGGAAGAAGTATTTCAGACGATGACAGTGCCAAGTAATGAACAAATATCCTTAAAGAGGTTCGTGGTTTCAGACACAGATAAATAGCTCCTTTGCATGGTCGAACCTTCTTGCTTACGGAAAGGAGTAGAACCTACAACCAGATTCTTTGTTTATGGTCCTGAAATTACTTTACTGTCAGCCCTATTTACCGATCAGAGGGACCTGCTTTACTGGAAATACTGGCAGTTTTTTCTAGATCTTGAACTTTTGCAAGTGGGTGTTTCACCTTGAGAGCTCTCTTCTGAAGCTTTAAGATTAATCTCTGTATTTACAACTTTATTGTAATTGCAGTAGCAGTAAGAGAGTAGGAAGATAGGACATAGTTATTGGACAGGAGCATAGGAGAAGTTTTAAAATTTACTGAAGAATTGCAGTGGTTCTAAGAATAGGTCATACCTGGTATCCTTTGAGTTTCTGACTTTTTTTCTTAAAATAGAAGTAATGAGCATAATTCTTGAGAGATTAAATTGAGCAGTAAGGGCTGGCCCTTATAAACTCGGTGAGTCCAAGTCTGGCTAAAGCTGGTGAAATCTGCATTTTATATATCTTCTAAAGACTCTTGCACATTGTGTTTATAGTAGTGATTTATGTGTTACAGTGTGGGTTTGCTGAATTATTGTTGTTATTTCTGAATTTTCCTCTGTACTGCACCTGACTAAGCTCTTAAAACCATGCAAAACAAACAGCTGCTGCTTTTTCTCAAGACCCAGGCCTGGGGCTTGCCTTCTTTTCAGACTGGCAGAGGGATTCTAGCTTCAGCTGGGGGCAAGAAAAGATATGCAAACAGCATTTTGTGTCTTTATGTGTTTTAAGCAAAAGCTTTCTGCCAGCTTTCTTTTGGTCTGTGCTGATCTTTGATGGAGGTTAGAATAAAATTGCATGGAGCTTGTGATGCAAATAATTGATGCCCTGTGTCTTTCAGTTGTTCTTTTCCTTACTCAGTCCTGGTTCTACAGCTCCCTTGAATGCTGGGGCCTTGTCTACATTAGTAAGGAGCAAAACAGGCAGATCTATGTGGTCAATTTTGATTTTTCCTCAAGTTTTTCAACATGTGATTCAGAGTTACTACATTCTGTCTGCTTCTCAGAACTAAATGTCTGCAGTATGCGTAGTTTGAAGTTTGCAAGTGGAGGGGGAGAGGAGAGGGAAGAAGTGTAAAATGACGCACACTTGGCCACCATACTGTCTTGGCATCCAGTATCTTGTTAGGTTTTGAAATGTTTCAAAAGTGAGGATTCTATCTTTAAAATAAACCAACAGCAAAACAAACCAACCAACAAACAGAAAAACCGTAACCAAACCAATAGCAACAATTTGTACACACAACCTACTTTGAGATCCAAATTGACGTGTGATAAGTAGAGTTAACTACCTTGAATCAAATCACACTGTTGGTGTAGTCTCAGAAGTATCCTAGATCTGGTATGTCTCAGTCAAAATTAGAATGTAGTCAGCTTACATGGAGACAGCCTCTACTGGTTTCCAGTCAAATGTCTTGCACTTCTAATTTTGACGGTATTTGAATTCTTATATTATTATATTATTTTTAGCAACTTGAATGTATTTGTGGTATAGGGAATCACTGTGGTTTCCAGACTTCAGTGGCATGCAAAGGTTCTGATTTTAGCAGCTATTTGCATTATTTTGCAAAGGTCTGAAAGTAATGGCAAAAATATGTGCCTGAAGAGGGTTTCTTAGTTCTCCTGAGTGAACAGAGAAACACTTGACAATTTGGAATGGAAAGTAAGGAAGATGTAAGACTAAGCAGTTCTGAGGCTGCTTGTATTAATTCCTGTGAAGGAGACAAGTGTCAAAAATTCCTAAACTGAAAGAATGAGGAGTTAGTAGATTCAGTAGGAGAAGGCAATGCAAGAAATAGAAAAGAAGATGAGAGAAAATTATGAGCTTCAGTACAGGGGAGAGACTCTGAAGGACTCCAAAGGAATGGTTCTGCCCACAGAAGTAGAAAATAATTAGTGAGATTTAGAGTAGCTAATTTTCTCAAAGTATGGAAATTCAGATGCAGCAGAACTGAAGGCACATTGTGTGATATTTATCAGGGAAGAAAATCGTCTTCAGAGAAAAGTCAAACCATCAACATTTGAATAAAGTAGGGTCATTTGCAGAAAAAGTGACTGTTTAATAACATTATGCAAATGTTTTGGTTTTGCTTTTTTTTCTTTTCCCTACAGGATTAGTTGTAAGTGATGAAAATGGTTAAATATTACAACTGCTATTTGCTTGTTATGAGACAAACATTCAGCATAGTTCATTAAATCTAAGATAACTCTTCAGTCGTCAGTTGGATGTGATAGAAGATGGGTGTGGACAGATGGGTAGTGGATTAATGGCTCATTTCAGTATCACAGACAAGCATTTTTCTAAACAGCTCAGATTTATCAATGTAGTTTTTCTTGCTGTATATCTTGCTACAAGTCACTGAATGCTTTAGGTCAGTTTTGTACTTTTTATCTTTTCTAAAGACTTTTTCAGACAACTTACATTTAAACTCTTCATTTTCTTAATTTGTACTGTCGTTAGTTAAAAAGACTCGTTTGAAATGAGCAATCCGTGCAGTACTGGCACGTGGGAGTTAGAAGAGTCATTTAACAACAAGAGATGAGTTTAAAAGCTTAAAGCATTTCCCTGTATGAAACAACCAACCAAGGTTAGACTTGGCTTGGAGTTGCAGCTTACCAGGAGTAGCAGGAAGACATGAAATATTCCGTATCTAAGTCTGTATGTGTTACATAAACTTTGCATTAAGGGACATGCGTTGCCTGAGCCTGTGATATGATCTGAGCTTTAAGATTGAAGCTGGTATGTAAGACTTGTTTCTCAGTATTCTTGTCAGTACTGTGAGGCAGAAGTGGCAAATTTCTGTGGGAAACCTTTTCATGTGGAATACTTGCTTACATTCACATAAAAGATCTTTATCTGGGATATAGTTTATTATGAAAAGCCAGAAATGTGCAAATAAGGGAGAATCTGTTTAAGAAGGTTGTAATTACTCAATTACGGGAACTGTGTAGCTTGTCTTGACTTCGATAGAAACGTATACATTTTTTTAGTGAATAAAAAATATAATTCCATTGGGATTGGAGGAATTCTGATTGATCTATTTTATATAGTCCGTTGCCTTCCTGTGCATCGGAAGTGTAGAGCAGAATTTCTACTGTCTTTCAAAATTTGCTGTAAAATACCATAATATCTGAAATATGATTTGCTGAAGACTAGATTGAAGCATTCTTGTAACGCTTTATGGAAGGAAAACATCTCCTCTCTGAAGCTTATCTTCTGAGGTTAAAGCTAACACTTTCCATTTGACAATTACCTTTCTTGCTAACAAAAATGAAACCCAAGGAAGAAGCAGAAACAGATCCTGATGGTATGAAGCATGTATAAAGTGATTATAAAGCATTGTAGATCACTATACAGATTATTGGTGCATATTAAAAAAAGAAGTTCAAACTGTATTTGTATGCATTGGTGGATAGCTTTTATATATGTTTTAGTTAGAGACATCTAATTTTCAGGTAAAAAAAACTCAGCATTCGAATTTGGATTAATGACTTTGTTACCAAATGTTGAGAGAATTAATTATTTAGAATATTAAAATGAAAGCACTGAGAAGGTGTTTTCTCCTCTGGGAGTTTTTATGGTGTAACATCCAGTAATAGCTGACAGGTTCAGTCTGTCCAGATGGTGGCAACATAGTTTCAGAAACGACTCCTAATCAGGACTCATGAAATAGAGCTTTCCTTTGAGACTAAGGGAAGCTGAGCTCTAAAATAACCGTGTGTGTATGTGTGCAGAAATTAAACTTGCATTGAAGACTACCAGCTTTAAGGAGAG